TCCTGAGGGTTTTCCTTCCTCCTAATAGGCAGATGTAATGGTAACTGGTCATTTCAATCTGGTCTCGGGCTGTGTTGAGTCGAGGCTGGTTTGTAGTTCTGGTAAAGCTCAAGCTACATTTGTCTCATCCCCATTCCAAGGACGTAACCCTCCAGGGTTTTAAATTGAGAGCCCGGTATTCACCAGTATTCACCAGAGCTTCTCCCTCCACAGGTTCATAATGCTAATCTGTATCTTGTGAGACTGCCAAAATGTCTGCTCTGCTTTTCAAAGGCTTTCCAACGAGATTTTCAGCCTCCTATTCTGCAGAGTCCCAGGAACTGGCAAATATCCCAATGGGATAAGTGTCCGTATGCATGAGGTTCCCCTAGTTTTCTACAAAGGTTGTGCTGGTTTCTTGTCCTGGGCAGCGGCTCTCTGCCAGCACACAGTTCTGCTTCTCAGACCCCTGCTCCTGCCCAGAATTAGCAAATTCCTACAGGGTGAAAGAGCCTACACAAAAGTCAGCTCAATACTCTATACCTGATCTTAGCCAAAAGGCCAAGAAGCAATCAGCTCACCTTTCTGAGGATCTTTCAGTTCACCTTTGCTTTTGGGGTTCAACCCTTCAGAGTCTCAGCCCAAAGTATGATGTATTGGAGTTCCCAGCCTTGGTTTGTTCAATCCAGACAAGATTTTTATCTACCAAGCCCCATAACACTGTGCATTTTGAGTAATATATCTCCAGGTAAATCAGCTACAAAAACCAGCCTCACCTCTCTCATAGCTTATTCACACCTAGATTTTGATCAAGTAATTCCTCACCCTCTTGCTAATTCTTTGAAGTTTTAAAAAACATACTTTAAAAATATTTTTGTTTGCCTTTTTTATTGTTCAAATCTAATTCCTACATAATATTAGTAACTATCTGACCTTAGTACTACCAGTTATAGTGAAATTTTTTAAAAGAATATTTATCTATTTATTTTTATTTTGAAGAGAGAGAGAGGAAATAAGAAAACAAGCTGCCAGGTCTAGGAACTGAACTATGGTTAGCCATGTGGGAGTCCAGCTCCTTAACTACCATGCCACCTGCCAGCCCTGGTTATGGTGAATTTTAAGAACATAATACCAGGGGCTGGTGGGTGGCATGGTGTTTAAGGTGCTAGATTCCCACATGGCTGATCACGGTTTGAGTCCCAGATCTGGTGGCTTGCTTTTTCACTTTCCTGATCTCTCTGTGCCTCTCTGATCAAATTAAAAAATAATAATAACAATTGATAATAATAAATATAATTAAATAATTCTTTTTAAAAATAATTGTTTATTTAACTCCACTTGCTATTATAATTTTTAAAATTTGACCAGAGACAGAGAGAGAGAGAGAGAGAGAAAGGGAAAGTGAGAGAGCAAGCTGCCAGGTCCAGAACTCAAACCGTGGCCAACCATGTGGGACTCCAGGGTTCTTAACCACCATGCCACCTGCCAGCCCCTAAATAATTCTTTTTTTTTTTTAAAAAGAACATAATTTCAAATGCAGAGTATTTACAACTTTTAAAACATCAGCCTTAGAAAAATGAATTTTTTTTTTTTTTTTAGAGAGAGATTTTTGCTATAGGACATGTGCACTTGCTGGAGAGACAGAGAGAAACAGAGAGACAGAAAGCGAGAAATTACTCCTCAAGGAGGATGGCCACGTTGCAATCCCTTCTCCATTCTCCTCTCAGGATCTTGGGCACACATGCACATGCACCCTGTGTGAGTTTTAAGTCACCGGGTCTGGGACTCAAACCACAGTTGACTAAGAGGGAGTCCAGCAATGTAACCATTATACCATTTGCTCATCCCAAAAAATTATGTATTTTTAAAAATTTGCTCTAGAGCATATGCGCTCATTGTAGAGAAAGACAGAGAGAGAAAGCATGCACCCCCTCCTCCAGGAGGTTGACCACGCTAAGCACATGTGCAGGCATGACCAAAATCCCAAAAGTAGGGAGAGATGAAGGAGAAGGGATTGTAACATGACCATTAGCCATGGGATGTTTTCTCCTTCTTTCTCTCTTCCTCTCTCTCTCTCTCTCTCTCTCACTCTGGCAAGTGTACTTGCCTTCTAGCAAAAAAAGAAACAAAAGAAAAAGATAGAAAGAAAAAGAAAAATGCCCTAAAGACCTGAAATGGGCAGTTGCAATGGACACAGAATTGATATCTTTTAATACTGATTTGGGACTCTTCTTAATTAACTCATTCCCCTGCTTCTGACAGTAGTAACTCCTTCCCTATTTAGGAAACTATAAGACTCCTGGGAAATTATGTTTTGTTTTGTTTATCCTGATAGATAGAGAGCCTACTGTTAAACTGATTTTTATTTCCTTAGAAATTTGGGAAGCTTCAGGTCTCATGTTCCTGTAATACTTGCTATTGGAACATTTAAATAAATGTTTAATAATGTTACCTTATTGTAATCATTCATTTTTTCCCTGTTATACTGTCATTTCTATAAGGCCAATGATGTTTTACTCCCTGCTACATATGCACATACCTAGTACCACTGGCCTGGGTAAAATGTAAGTATCTAATAACTAAAGAATCTTTAATATATTATAATAATTGGGGTCTCCAAAAATCACTATTATTAAAATATAATTCTGAGATGAAGTGTTTTAATATTTATATTAGAAGGTATTGCTAGAAAATAAGGAGTTAAATTTACTTAAAATTCTTAAACATTTAAAATATAGTCTGGGACCAGCAGATGGCATAGTGGTCGACTGCAGTTTGAGTCCTGGACCTGGTGGCTTAAAACTCATGCCAGGGCATGTGCGTACATGCCCACGATCCTGGGAGGAGAATGGAGAAGAGACTGTGGCATTGCCATCCACTCTGGGAAGTGATTTCTTGCTTTCTGTCTCTGTCTCTCTGGCAAGCGCATGCATCCTACAGCAAAAAGTTCTCTCAAAAAAATAAAATAAATAAAATAAAATGGTAACAGAACTAATAATTACAATTGGAAATCTTAGATTGGTAGAGTGATTTTCCTGAGCTGTAGCCAACCACTGGGATAAAAATTAAATAATAAATTCATATGCTCTTTATTATTATTTTTTAATGCACCAGAGGGCACATGCACACACAGGAGAGAGAGAGGATGTGAGGTAGTGAGAAGGCACCGCCCCTATAGGGCTCGGTCACACTGCAGTCCGTTCTCCTCCATTCTCCCTCAGGGATTTTGGGCACACTTGTGCATGGAGCCAATGCTTTTCAAGCCCCTGGATTGGGACTCCTAGCTGCACAGTCAGCCATATGGGATCCTGCTGTCTTAAACACTATGCCACGGCTAGCTCTACTTATATGCTCTTTAGATAAATTCTGGTATATGAAAATGATTCCATTTATTTACAAGATATAGTATTCTATAAAGGCTACCTATGGGACCATTAGATAGCATAATGGTTATGTCACTGGACTCCCACATAGCTGACCGCAGTTTGAATCCCAGACCTGGCAGCTTAAAACTCATGTCGACGGGACCAGCAGATGGTATAATGATTATGTCACTGGACTCCCATGTGGTCGACCGCAATTTAAGTCCCAGACCCAGTGGCTTAAAACTCACGCTGGACATATGTGCATGCATGCCCAAAATCCCGAGAGGAGAATTGAGGAGAAGGGACTGAAGCGAGGCCATCTCCCCTGGGGGGTGATTTCTCGCCTTCTGTCTTTCTGTTTCTGTCGCTCTGGTGAGCACATGCACCCTATAGCAAAAATCTCTCTTAAAAAAAAAAAAAAAGGCTGCCTGTAAATAACCTTTTTATATTTCAAACATTAAAAAAATCCATCTGATGGGAATAAATTAAACTTCAAATATATTTAAAAAAATAAAAATCTCTCTTTGCAGTGAGGATGCTCTCACATTGTCTGAACTGTACATTTAGATTTCTGAATACTGGATTTTTCAAAGTGGGGAACATGTCTTTCTGACTTGGTTATATCAAAAGCTAAGAAGTTCAGCACAACCCTAAAGCCAAATTACCTTTTATTTTTGAAAAATATTATTAGTAAATATCTAAGTAGTAAACACAGTTTGATTATAAACTATCAGTAAACTAGGAAGTAGTAAATACTTACTATTATTTTCTTACAGTCCTTTCCCCTGCATAGTTCTGTATAGGTAGAATACTGCACATATATAATCCAGCTTCCCACGAAAACAGCCAGCCAGGAGAAGAAAAGATATTTCATCCGCATATAAGAGAAGCGAGCCTGTGAGTAAAAGAACACGTAACAATCATTCATTCAGTGCCAAGTCAGCTTTCATTGTCCTAGAACATGATTTTCCCCCCCTTCTTGGAAGAAAATATAAATTCTAGGCTTTCGTATGGCAATTTTAGAACAAAGTACACTTTCACAGAGTCTAAACAGCCCTGGTCTTAGAAGAGAAGCTCCTTGGTCCTGCCAAGGAAAAAGGGAACAAAATACCCTTTAAAATGTATAACCTTTCAAATACCACCACCATCAAAAGCTACTTACTAAGCACAAGCACGTGCACCATGCCACCCTGGTCACAGTGTTAGATCAGGTAGAGAAATACAATCCTCCCTTACTAGGAGCTTACGGAAGACTGTTTCAAATAAGAATGTTAAGAGTCTTTAATATACTAACAGTAAAAATAACTTCGTTTGAAAGAACACAGAACCTGATTATTTGTCGAATGTCTCATAGTGACAACCAGAATAAGAAATAAAACCTCATAGTTATTCCTATTTCCCTATTGTATTCACCAGGGTTTTATGTTTTTTCTATTTAACTGATCAAATGTTTTACCTATTAGATATTCTAGAAATTGAGAAGAATGTTATAACTGTTAAGGGAGAAATGACCGGAGAAGAAAGATTAAGATGTATTAGAAATAAATTCGTCCTTGCTCGTCAACTTTTAAAGCCACACAATAGGATCCTCTATTGCATTGTTTTGCTTCCAGCTCCCTGGTATCTAATTGCGACTTGGGCTGATTGGTGCTTTTTCCCCATCAACCACATGTCAAAGAGTTTAATATTCAAAAGTGACAACTGGTCAAGATAATGTGGCATTTTATTTTGGGAGTCTGGAGCTCCAACAATCTTATTTTAGAAACAGTAGAATTGAGAAGTATGGAAAGAATTGAGCAGAATAAATTTAAGGTATGTAAACAAACAATAAAACGCTGGTTTTGCTTTTACGATCACGAGCCAATTTCTCACACTGCGAAACAGTGGGATACTGTGCACTATGAGCATGCAAAGAAAGCAGAAAGATGAAAGCGACTTAGGCGCACCTGCAGAAGACAATGAGTGCAAAGGGAAAAGCGACGCAGGACATATTTAATTCTGCTGGCCCTTTCTGCAGTTTTCATGTCTGTATTTGTGAGACTAGAAGATGGTGAATCCAATACTACCAAGCTTGAGTACAGAGAACTCACAGTTAAGTAATAAGTCTTTGAAATTTATGATTAAAATAACAAAGTGTCTAATACAAAGTATTTTTGTATAGCTCTAAATGAATTTAGTGAAAAGAATAATCAGATAGAACCTAAATTAAATTACATGAATGACAATGCAGTATGTAACAACGGGTTTGTTTGAAAGACAGTTAATATTACTTGGGTCCTAATAAGTGGTATGGTTGGGGCCTGGAAGGGAGTGTGGTGGTTAAGGCGCTGGACTCCAACATGGTGGACCACACACATGGTGGATCACAGATCCCCAACCTGATGGCCTGCTTTCTCACTTTCCCTTTCTCTCTCTCTGGTCAAATTATAAAATAATAATAACAAATAAATTAAATAACTCTTTAAAAAAATAAAAAGAGGTGTGGTCATCAGAAAGAAACTGACATATGCTAATATGGTGAAGCTTGCTTAAGACTAAATGACATAATGCTTATAGTACATAACCACAGTGCTGGGTACAGTTCATATTACAAACCTTAGCTAAACCGATTTGCATGTCACTGAGCAAGAGACCAACAATGCTGTCATTGACCATCACCTTCTTTCTGGGCTAGCCACAAAGAAAACTGAATCTGAATCCGGCCAAACCTTTAGTTCCAACTACCAGTTCACAGGAAATACAGAAGACAGAAGAGCACAGTGACATTAAGTAAGTGACACTATGAGGATACAATCAGCAAACTCAGACTGTGGGAAACACTGTAAAACAAACAACTTAGCTCCTGCAACAAATAAATTACAAGAGGGGAGAAAAAAAGGGAAGGGGGAAAATAAAAGATTTAAACATATTTAAGAAATATATTAAATATAACATGTGGCTCTTTTTTGAATCCTACTCTAAATGAAAATCTATGACATTTATGAGACAATTGAAAATCTGAAAGATACTTGATAATAAAATTATTTTTTAGGTGAGATACGGTTCTGCGGCCATATTTAAAGAAGAGAGCCCTTATCTTTTGGATAAAATTAAAATATTTATGAGCAAACAGATATATTTGGAATTTGCTTCAGAATAGCACGGGAAGGGAAAAGTAGGCAGGGGCGAGCTGAAACAAGATGGACGAGGAACTGTTTAAGCTGGGTGATGGGTACATGCTTTCTTTTGTAGCTATTTTTTCACTATTGATCTGAAAATCCTTATACTGTGCATCAAGGTATTCACTGCTAAACCAAGACAGTCCCTTCCCATAAATTTATTCAATGACTATTTATTGACTGCCTGTCATGTACCAGGTACTGCCTTAGGCGATTTCAGCACATCTCCAGTTATAAGGAAAAAAGAATTACCAATCTACCATACAAGTACAATTGAAATAGCTGAAAAGGTCACTCGAAAGACAATAGCGTGACATGATTTTACTTTTAAAAGTCAAACTTCATATTAAGCCAACACTTTATATGATTTTTTTAAAGTCTAAGTTTTAAAATAAGATTACTCTCATTTCATTTAGTAAGGGAGTTAGAGAAGACCTTAAGCTATCATAGACTCCTTTTCCTCTTTCTGCCCCGCTGGGATGCAGGTAGACGTAACGGAGAAAACACACACACACAAACACACACACACACATAGGCACACATACCGTGAACAAGGTTTTCTTCCAGTTTGGGATTTGGTCTTGACCTACCTTCTCCTTCTTTTTTTTAATTAAAGAATTATTTATTTATTATTATTATTCAGTTTGACCAGAAAGAGACAGAGAAAGAGAAGGAGAGTGAGAAAGCAAGCTGCCAGATCCAGGACTTGAACCATAGTTGGCCATGTGGGAGTCCAGCACCTTAACCACCACACCACCTGCCAGCCCCTCTTCATTTTTTAAGTTTATTCATTCGCTTTTCTTCGAGAGAGAGAGAGAGAATACAGGAACCTCCAACAGGGTCCTGCCATGTAGCAATCCTCCCCACCAGCCCTCCAGACAGCAAGAATTATGGACATACCCACATTTTTTTTGGGCAATCAGGGAGGCTGAGATCTGGGTCTGAACCCAGGGCCTTCACTAAAGCTCCAGCACCACACAGTGATGCCCACCACTTGGGCCACCATGGCTGGGCCTTGTCTGACCTTGGTACACACCTCAAGACTTCTAGAGGCATCAATGGCCCTTTGGACTCTCCATCAATAACATCTATTCAGGTGTTTGTATAAATGTCCCATAAGGCTACAGTAAAATGCTCTCAAATGCATATAAAATTTAATAGATGGTGACAGCTAAGACTTCTGTATATTCCTTCCTTCTGCATACTCAATTTAAAAAGATTGGAAGCCATTTTGCTTAGCACTCTCTCTCAAATAGCTACATATTTTTACTTCCTCTGGCATATGTTTAAACTAAAAAAACCACCCTGTAAACTGTCCTGCCTGATGAGTGCTCACAGTACTAGAGAATGCCAAAAATTTTGGAGAGGAAGTTAGATTAATGATGCTCACAGCAGGCCCCTGGGCATCACCTGTTATAGACATAATGAAATACATTTTTATTCTGGCATGCTATGGAAAATTGCTGTGATGTGAGGATAACACAAAATAGTGAAAGGACCTTCCCGTGTGCTTTAATAGCTGCAGATCCTGTGGCCTCACATTTTAAAATAATGATGGAGGAAAGAAACAGCCATAAATTACATCTGTAGCCATTAACTAATTTTATTTCCCTGTGTGGCACTCACTAAAATGTTTCTAGTGGTCTGTTTGGTACCAATTACCTGGTCTTTGATTAAGAAATATAGCCTGACCTTTTTATTTATGCTGAACTATCCAAAATGACTGCCTAACAGCTCTTTCTTCTGCTGATTTTTAGCCTAGCTACTCATGAGACATTGCTTTATTCCAAATTATGCTCCTGAAAAGCATGATAAGAATTTCAGTAACTACACTATGGCAGTGACTCTCAAGTCCATTTTCCCTCTTCGGGGGGGAGGGGTCACTTGGCAGTGTCTGGAGAAGTTTCTGGTTGCACAGTCAGGGGGTGCTACTGGAATCTGGTGGGTAGCGTCACAGATGCTGCCAAGTGCAGAACAGCCCCCCTGTGCCCAAGCAGCACCTGGTCAAACGATAAGGGTGCTGTGTTGAATAAACTCTACATTAAAGTTATGAAATAAAATGAGAACAAAAATTACATGGTTAAAAGAAAAAAGTGTGTATGGCACTATCACTTTATTTTACATTAGTCTTCAATGCTCAAATTACTACTAACTAGGAAGATATAAAACATCTGTCTGGAAATAACAGATGTTGTTACAAGTAAATGATCCCTTGTTTTAAATGAGAGTGAGAGAGAGAATGGAAGGGAGGGTTGACAGGATCTGACCCTGTCAGGAGACTCCTGCCCCAGCCTCTCAGTTAGTGAAAACCAGACATGCGCCCCTGTGCCAGGCCTGTTTCGGGCTGGGCCAGGAACTGAACCCAGGCCTCCTATGTGGCCTCAGCGACTGTGCAGCAGAGCACTCCCATTTGTGTCATCACAGCTGGTCTGATTATCAATGGCTTATTGTAAATTAGAAAGAAAAAAATTACTGGAGATGGAAAAATATGCAAATGAAAAACAACTTTCTCTACCAATTTCACTCAAAAGAACAGTAATAGCTTTTCTTCTTTTTTTATATTGCTTGAACTCATTGTGCTAACTTACTTCAAAAGAAATCAGAACTTCTTTTATTTAAATGATTTTATATTAAATTTAAAAAAATAGGTAGGAAGAAGCAACATGCCAGAATTCAGCCATTTAAAAACACTTATTATTTTTTCCTTTTTTTTTTTTTTTTAAGGGTTTTTTCTTAA